CTTTATCAGGAATTCGAGGTATCTTCTGTGATAGATTCGTGCCTGCTTCGGTCATTTCTTTAGATTTTTGGAGAAAATAACATATAGATGTTCTCGTCTTCTTCTTTTTACTTCGCGCGAGTGAAGATGTGTTTGGAATGTGCTCGCTGCGAGATTTTGCCTTCATCTGTTTATGGTGCCAGAGAGGGGGAAGCAAGGTCATCGTTCAAGAAAAGTTGCGCCAGTAATACCAACGAGGGATTCACGGTGGATCCCAGCGTACTTTAACTTTCTTGTCCATACTTCGAAAGAAGCGAAATAATTGTAATCGTCCGCCTGAAAACTGTCAATTTAGGGAGAAAATCTCTTATTGTCGTCCCGTAACAAAAACTGGGATAATCTTGTTCCTCTATAGTAAATGATTTCCTCTAAAACATAGGGCAGTCAGAATCCAAATTTGGTGGATCCAAGATATCGAAAAATCGGCTGGCGTCTACACATCTGTCAGTCCGTCTGCCCGTCCACCTGTCCTTTCTTCTGTCTATCCGTCCGTTCGCTCGTCTGTCTGTGGTCAACGCTAGCACCTAAACCGTTCAGCCGATTTTCTTCAAAGATAATATTCCTCAATGGATTTAAATGAGCTTGTGGCTCTCCCAGTTTGAAACGAATATTATATTTTGGAAGGTACTTTATATGAAGCCTATACTTTATATCACATCAACATTTGAGTAAAAATTGATTCGAAATATTTTGATTAAAAGTTTCTTCGGAGAGCGTAAAGGATGCTTAAAACAATGGTTCAGATCTCATTTTCCATAAAAATCTCAATTTTTTGAAAATTGCAATGGTTAAAATTTTTTAGCGTATTTCTACAACTAGAATATTGAAAGTATACTTTTGCCTTAATTGAATATGTTCTTTCAAGATTTATCTTCAAATAAGGTAGTGTAGTTGTTTTGAAAATATGAGTAGTTTTCGCATAATTTTGTGTGAAATGTAAGCATTTTGTTAAATTTTTGAAAAACAAATTTGTCTCAAAAACGAGTTGATTTTTTCTTTAAATTTTCTTATTAGAATCTAATGACAGTAAAGAAGTTGGGGTAAACGCATTTGCGGCAAACCCTCTATATTTTTAAAAATTTCAAAAATATAAAATTGACGATAGAGATTTCTGTGTCGGACAAAATCTGTTCTAAAAACTTAGCTCTTTAAAGAAGATCATGTACCATTTTTTGGAAAAAATGAGTAGTTCTTGCGTAAGTTGTGCTTGAAATTCGGAGAGATTCGGAGAGAAGACATTCCCTCAAAAACCATTCTTCGCATAGACAAGGAAGGCTTAAAAGAATGGTGAATGTCTCATTTTCGTTAAACTCCCGCAATTGTCGAAAATGCAAATTACAAATATAATGCGAGAAAGTATGTGCTGCTGTAGTACCATTACTAGTGCTCTTGAAGGTAGATTTTGGTTATTATTTTAACAATCTAATAACAAATTCACAATGCTTTAAAGCGATTTAGTAACCAAATACTTTTATTATATTTTGTGACATTACTTAGGGACTTTACCCCACCCAAAATATTTGTCGGCGTTCAAAAATCTACATGCGTTTATCTTTTGTTTTCTGTATAACAGTTATATATTTTATAAATTACATTAATCTATCACTGATGCTACATATCACGTATACAAAACACATCGTCTTTAAATTTATTAATATTCATTATATTATTATTAGAATTATTATTATCGCTTTATTAGAAACAATAATTCGTTTCACTTCGTAAAACCTCATGATTCATTTAGTAATTGAATGATAAATATGGCTTTTATGCATATTCATTTTTCTTAATGACTACCAAGAAATACCAGGGGTCCACTGTAGAACCTCGTTTGGGGACGCGCGTGCACTCGCCTTTAATGATCTTCGGCGTGGCCTCTTCGATGGCGCGCTTCACGCAGCCTGGGAAGTCGGACTCCCCGCGGTGGCACAGGGTGAAGTAGTCACTCGCTGCACAGAAAGCAAGTGCGATGAGAGAAAGAGGGAAGAGAGAGGACAGAAGAGAAAATGTGTGTGCGAGGAGTGAAAGGAGAGAGACTGTGAGAGGAGAGAAAGGAGAGGCTCAGAAGCGAGAAAAAAGGTAGAGTGTGAGGAGAGAAGAAGAGTGAGTGGGAGAAGAAAAGGAGAGAGTGGGGGAGAGAAAAAGGGAGAGTGGAAGGAGAGAGAGTGGGAGGAGAGAAGAAGAGAGAGTGGGAGGAGAGAAGAAGAGAGAGTGCGAGGAGAGAAAGAAGAGAGTGGGAAGAGAGAAAGAAGAGAAGGGGAGGAGGGAAGAAGAGAGAGTGGGGAAAAGGGAGGTATCTGGAGAAGAAAAAGAGAGTGAGAGGAGAAAAAGATAGGAGAGAAGATCGCCGCCCAGGGTCTACCTTTCTTGCTCTTGCCGTAGGCAGCAGGCGCCAAGAGGAGGATGGTGAAAACCGCTAGTGCCCCTATGTGCCGCCAGGAGCGCTGAACATCCTCCGAGGAGTCCATCGCTCACTCTGCCGCACACTCGTTTCTGCGAACAAGCAACTGGAAATTAGTATTCTGGAAAGCGGACCGCACGTGCATTTCAGAGTTGTTGAGAACGTACTTTTGAAACAGAGTACTGCGACGTTATGAGACAATAAATGTTTGTATCCATATATTCATAAAAGAAAGTTTTCAATAGCTATAGAAAAAACATAGTATAATATTGGAAATAATAATAATATTGTATTATTAATGTGCGATTTATTTTTGTATTTTTGAGAATTAATATGCGATAGTTGCATCAATTCGTGTCGTGAGCCACTCTTAGTCAAAAACCTGAGATTCCTACATTTGAGGGAGTATCTCCGGGCCAATTCGGGAACAAGATTGTCGCGGGTTGTGGGACGTATGAGAAACTAGGGGTGCAACGGAATGTCACAGACTTTTCCTTTGGTTTCGGCCAACTATACGAATATATCATATCTTGTCAGCTTCAATCTATTGCCGCTCAAAATACATTTTTTTGAAATTGTCTTCATTTTTTTAGTTTTCTAATAATAGAGCGGAAATATTATTTTAAGAATAGTAAACCGTGCCCAAAAAGGCAATTTTCTTAGAAAAATTCGAAGCCGTTTTTAAGAAAATGCTGCTCAACGATACAGTAAATTCGAAATTTTAAGCACTTTTTCATAGAAAAGTTTTGAGTTTTAGAGAAACTTTAGAGAGTCATTTACTGCACTTTAACTCACAAATACAATAGTGTTTACAAATTGCTGGAAATGTGCATATCGACATCGGAGATACTTGAAAAAAACTACATTTGTATAGTTTTTGAAAAAATTCCCGAAAATGAACTTAACGTCATATTAAAGAGTGCAAATAGCATTATCCTTTTGAAAAGATTGAAGAAAAAAATGGAGCCATTTTTGAGAAAATTACGTTTGACCGTTTCTGAAATTGCAAAATTTTGTGGTAGTTTTGACAGAAAACGGTTGAGTTTTCGAGAATCTTTATCTGACATTATTTAAAGCACGTGTACTCATAAATATATTAATGAGAATAATTTGACGCTAATGTAAATATTAATGACGTAATAGAGGTCAAAAAATATTTTTTTGTACAAAATATACAACTTTGCTTCCGCCGTTTTTTCCTCAAAAATATGACCCTTTATTGAAGAAAATGCTTACAAAGATATTATTCAAAGTAATGTCCATCGCTGGCCACAACTTTTTCCCATCTTTCCGGCATTCTGGTGTGTGCCTATGCCGCGTCCGAAAAAATTGTTCCCATCTTTGGAGCGATCAGAATAATCCCACTTTTGACATTTCAAAATCGGAAGTGGTTGCTCAGCCATCGTAGGCCGATGATCGGACAAGTGATAATCGAGAGATACGTTGGAGATCGGCGGGTGGGGTAGGATGTCCTTTCAACGTTTCAGTACGTTTTTGGACATTTCCTTGAACGTGGGCTAGTTGTCATGCAGCAATCACTTATCGTGCCTCTGTGATTGCGGGCGTTGTCTTTCATGCTGGCTCAAACCGCATTAATTGCGTGATTCGATAACTGTGATTGTTTCACTTGTTTAAAAGCTCATGGTACATCGATGCGACTGTCCACAAATGCAGAGCATGATCTCTGTACCCATGAATGATCGGTGTGGGTCCGAGTGGAAGCATGGTGGGATACGCATGATTTTCCGTTTAGGGTATAGTAATAACCTTTTTCCGTCCGGTCACCAACGATCAGAAAACCATTGCCCGTTTTTGTCTGAGACGGTTCCAACCACAAAGACTTATATGTCTCTCGGTTTCAATCATATGGGACCAGTTCATTCTTTCTGGATCATACCCTGCTTTGAGACGTTTTGAAAATGGGGTATACTGTGTCACCCCAATGATCGTGCCAGTTCTTCTGAGTTTTGAACGCGAGTCTTACACATCCAGCAATGCTCAATTCTGGATCTCAAACTTTCACTCTTCGGCACTATGCGCGGTTTCCATCGTTATGTCACTACTGATGGTTGAACGCAATGCGTAACGTTTCTAACTAATAAGTTCTCAAGTAATAGAGACATTCGAATGAGACTCATCGCAGTTTTCATATTGAAACAAAAAAGCAGAGCTCTGCAATGTACGAGAATTCGGCTCGTAATGACATTTATTCGAACGTTACGTGCCACCAAATCCACTATGTTTGAATGGGGTTAATCGAAGCTCCACAGCTAATGCTGACGTTCGATTGTTATCGCGACAGTTACTTACCATTGTTAGCCACTATTGAATAACCGAGGAAGCAAGTTGGTACCCCCTTGTAATTTTTGAGAAACAAATTATATAGAGGCAATATAGCGTTATGTATCTAATAGAGAGCATTTAGCAAGATCCTACAAAGTTTAAGAAAAATTTGAAGTTCGTTTAGTTTTTGAAAAAATATGTTTTTGTAATTTCTAAATTTGCTACAAATGCATCCCGCATATTGTGCAAACTATACAGTTTTCAAAGTACCTAACCTTAATGAAGAAATTGTGGACACAATTTAAATTGAAGGAAATCTCTATGCTTTAATTTTTGATGGGAGCAAATGCGTATTTTTAGATATTGGGCGGTTTGACGGGTTTCCTAATAAACGATTCGATTTCTTTCTTTCCATCTCACGCTCTCTTTCTCTTCCTCCTCTGTGATCATACAGATTTGATTCCTCTCGAAATGAATGAAAGTTTCATTTTAGTTATAAGCTCAGGCCCAGTGAGTTTGTTGAGACCTAAAGCCTATCCAAGCCAGGACCGAATAATTAATGGAGAAAATAATGAAAGAGTGTTGAGTGAACCTGACAATGCGGTATAGGTGAATGAAAAAGATGCAAGAAAGAAAGGAACTAGTGGTGCTTGTGATCTCGGTAGCTATTTGGAACTTGGTAACACCCTCTTGCTAGCTTGCATCTATCGCGACAAGTACTTTGGTTTTTAAATTTTTAACTTTTTCGGTTTCCCCAATACTAAATGGAATATTTTATTTCGAGAATATTTTGAAGAAAAGTCAACTATGCTATTAGCAATTTTTTCCTTGCGTATTCTTGGCAAATTTGCCAGCATTTTAAAGAAAAAGGCCGCTTAGTCTATTGTATTAGATATTTGAAGACTTTTTCAAAAAATTGAGTTTTTTCGTAAACTTCATTAGAGTTTTACCTCACAAATACTTTAATCCTCACAGTACTATGGTGTTTACAATACTATAGTTTTGAGTTAGTTTTTACACAAAAGGTTGAGTTTTCGGAACATTATATGACATGACTCTTACATGTGAGCAAATTGCGTAATATAAGTATTACTATGCGAGAGAAAGTATAAAATTATTCTCGTAATTTCGAAAAACCCAAATAGTAAAAATATGGCGTTCCATGTCATCTAAAGGTATATTTGCCTAACCCTATCCAAGTTTATAAGAAAATATTGAGCAGTTTTGAGAAAAATCGTGTTTTTGTATCTTTTTTTAATTGCAGCTTATTGCTCGCAAGAATCAGAAACTATAACATTTTGAAAAATGTACATGATATTTATAAAAGAACACCCTGCGGAGAACAATTTATTTGAAGAAAATCAATCTTTAATTTTGTAGTTGTAAGGAAGACACGATGTTTTAAAATTAGAGTGAAACTTTGAAATAGATATGGCATTTTGTAGTGTAATTTATTCTATTCTTACAAAAATTTCAGAAAAAGTTGGAGTGTTTTTCGAGAATATTTTGAAAATGTCCGAAGTAGGACATGTAAAGTACACCAAAATCCTGATTTTAAATCGCAGACCTTCCATCAGGCGGGATGGGCGGCTATTTTTATCAGTTTAGAAAAATTCCTAACATAGGTTAGCCATAATATTTTCAATACAGACGGAGGGACGTTTTGGAAAAAAATCGGGTATCAAGAGGATACCAATGTGTATTTCAGTTGAAATCTCCGATCTATTTCCCGCTGCATTACTTAATTTCGTATGTATGTAGTATACAGGAGTAAT